GGGGGGTTTAGGGGTTCAGGGGGGTTTAGGGGGGTTTAGGGGGGTTTAGGGGGGTTTAGGGGTTTAGGGTTTAGGGTGTAGGGTTTAGTTTTTTTGTTTTTTTGGCGTGTGTTTCTGTTGCTGTGGAGGGGTTTGCTTTTATAAGGGTTTTGGGGAGTTGCAGGGTTTTGAAACGGTTTCACGTAAGAAGATCAACCAAGTAAGGCACCGCAGCTGTCCTGCAAGGCACCTATCCCAAGAGTGTCTTCGAACACTTCCTTCCCCCAAGCCCGTCCACCAAAAAGGGAAAATGTGTATGGTCATGATCTGTTGATGCTTCCGTTAGGTGCTGCGGCCGAGCACCACAGGATGTAGCGTGTTTCGGGTGGTTCCCAGCGCGGCTCTTCGCAATCTTCCAAGCAAAGGGTTCGTGCAATTGCTCGTTCCGAAAACTGGCTCCTTTGCCGCAGTCGGCAAAAATCCCGCAACTCTTGACGGCTCACAAGGTCCGCCTTCGTGTCCGGTGCAGCGAAGCGGCTGGGGGCCCAGTGCCCTCTGGCACAAGCGCTGGGCAAGGGCTGGCCGGCGGTGGCGAAGGTGCTGGCCAAGGCAAGGGTGGACCCTGTCGAATTATGATTGTCATGGGGGCGTCCATGTTCACTGGTATCTAAGTTGCTTTGGATAGTGGTGACGAAAGGGAGCCTGGCATTTTGGGGCGGATTCTTGCTGTTCTTGAAGCCGTTTGGATCGGGACACCTCTGCACTCAGAAGCAGTCCTCTTCCCAGCAGTTGTCATCCTTTTCGCCACGCTTGAAGCTAAACCCTAAACCAGAGATCAAGAGGGTTGTGCCTCCGAAAACTTCAGAGTTTCACGCTATACCGGTATGTAAATGCTAAGTAGGGGTCCTGACTACCCTTATGTGACGACAGATGGACAATAGTAGAATCCTTTTTATGACTCCGGGGCACCAAATCCTTCCTAATAGGACTTCCCAAAAGCGCTATGCCCAACACCTAAACCCTAGACCGGGTATAAACTTGCACCTATTTCTTGTCAGTTTCAGACGGGTTCCCGCTTGACGAGGACCAGGCCGTTGGTGGCCAGGGCCTCGTCAAGGCCATCGCCCTCGCTTGCCAGCAGCAGACGCCCGAGGCTCTGGCAGTTCCGGACGGTTCCGGAAAGGGCCCCAGGATGCCTCGAGCCTGTAATCCTCTGACTGCTACGATGTAAGGGGGCATAGATTCCTCCTTGTCCTCGTCACCATCATGAATCCTAATCTTCCTGGCTACTGTTATCCTGACCATGCTTTATCCTCATCATCTTCATCGCTGCTGCCGCTCGTGCTTCTTCATTCCCTTCGCGTCTTTGTATCGATATCAGTGTACATCCTCCACGCAAAACGTTGAAGTCAGCGAAAGGAAGCCATGGCCTTTAGCCACCGAGTCGATCCAAAAGAGGCCTTCGAGGCGGCGTGCGCGGCGCTGAGCCGCTTCCCAGGGGGCTGCAAGCCGCCCCTCTCGACCTACAACGGCATCTTCAAGGCCCTTTGTTGGGGTTTAGGGTTTAAGGTTTATAGGTTTTATAGGTTTATAGGCTTTAGAGTTTAGGGTTTAGGGTTTAGGGTTTATAGGTTTATAGGTTTTGGAGTTTAGGGTTTAGGGTTTAGTGTTTATAGGTTATAGGTTTTAGAGTTTAGGGTTTAGGGTTTGTGCTTCGTTGGGAGACCGGGCTGGGGGGTGCTTTTCGCGCAAGATGCGTGAAACCCCCCACGCCATGTCCTCTGATTGTTCGTGCATCGCATGACTCCCGTGTTCCGCATATGTAAGCATTGCACCTGTGACCGCAGCCCTCATTTCTTGCTGAAGAAAAGTTTTCATGGTAGCGGAGCTTAGGCTCCTAGCTCCTGGGTTGTTTCACCGCATAAGAGCCTTTGCTGCAGTTGTTTTCTTCTGCGTTGCTTTTGGAGCTGCTGCTGTTCGATCAGCCAACTCCCAATACTTTTTTAGCGTAAGACCCTGTGGTGGAAGGGCAGCTCCGGAGCACCTTTGGGTGCAGAGGAATTTTCCTGGGGACAGTGCGTGTGGCTTTGGCAGTGGCTGGAGCAGGCTCAGTGGAATCAGCGCACGTGGCCCTGGGAGCGGCTATTTCAGACAGGTTGTAATCAGTGCGTGTGGCCCTGGCAGCGGCTGGAGCAAGCAGGTTGTACTCAGTGCGTGTGGCCCTGGCAGTGGCTGGAGCAGACAGGTTGGAATCAGTGCTTGTGGCCCTGGCCGTGGCTGGAGCAGAGGAGAAGCTAGAGTTACAATGGCGCAGCAGCAGCAGCAACAGCAGCAGGCAGCAGGCAGCGGGCAGCAGCCCATGGGGCAAGAGATCCAGGAACAGGTGGACCAGTTGGTGAGGAAAAGGCTGGAGCAGGCTTTTGGGTCTGTCTTTAGCAAAGTGCTGACGGCAACAGAGCGAGCAGCTCAGGCAGCTGAAGCCCAAGCGCAAGCAAACCGCCTGGACGGTCTGACAAAAGGGCTGAAGCTTGATATCTGGAAGCCCAGCAACCGGGAAGAAGAGCTTAGAGGTTGGAAGGATTGGTTCTTCCAGCTCCGCACGTGGCTTGCCAGCCACGACAGCAAATTCGAGGAAGACATCGGCGGCATAGAGGTGGACGTTGAGCAAGATCATGCGTTTCTGGACGCGGAAGCCACCATGCGGAGCCAAAAGCTGTTTGGAGTCTTGTGCTCCTACGTGAGGGGCCGACCTCTTCTTTTGGTGAAGAGCCAAGAGAGCACGAAGAATGGCCTGGAAGCCATTCGGCTCCTGAAGCGGGAGATGGAGCCGCGCGAGAGAGCGCGAGCCCTGGCCATTGTTCGCAACCTGGCCAGCTGGACCTTCAAGGAAGGGGGCCTCCATGAGCAGCTGGTGGCCTTTGAGGAAGCAGTGACTGCCTACGAGCGTGCGAGCGGCAAGGTCTACTCCCAAGACCTTATGATCGCCACGGTGGTCACGGGGCTAAGAGAGCCTCTTCGCAGCCAGGTGCAACTGAGGATGAACGACAAGACAGAGTACAAAGACTTGCGCGAATGGGTCCTTTCCTATGAGTCCGTGAATGCCCCCTGGTCTGTGTCAGTTCCGACCTCGAACACCAAGGCTTCCCATGGCTATGGGCAGGAAGCAACACCAATGGAGGTGGACCAGATCAAGGGCAAGGGCAAGAAGGGAAAGTACGGCAAAGGCAAGGACAAAGGAAAGGACAGCAAAGGCAAAGACAAAGGAAAGCATGGCAAGGGCAAGGGCCAATGGACAGACAAAGGCAAGGGCCAGCAGGGCAACTGGAACAATGGTGGTAGCTGGCAGCAGCAGCCTGGTGGATGGCAGCAGCAACAAGGCAAGTGGCAGCAGCAAGGCAAATGGCAGCAGCAGGGCGATGGACGAGGAAAGGGCAACCAGCAGTGCCACAACTGTGGGGGAAAAGGGCACTGGAAAAATGAGTGCCCCTATCCCAAGAAAGGCCCGGGGAAGGGCGTGAAGCAGATTGAGGAGCAGACTGCCCACAGCCAGGTCTCCTCGGGACAAAGCGTTGCCTCCACGTCTGCGTCTGCCTACCGAACGCCCTCTACAGTCCAAGTGGTGCGGGCCATCCACGCCGAGGCGGGGATCGCCTTGGGAACGCCGCCCGGGTGTAGAAGCACCCAAATCTTTGACATAAGCGAGGTCGACAGTGACTTCGGCAACTTCTCCTTGGAGGAACCTCAGGTGATGATGGTCCAAGCCAGAGGTCTTCCCTCTGCTTGGCTTGCCCTTGACGCATACGATGCAGAGGGCTCGTGGACCCGACCTTTGACCTGAGAGAGCCCGAGCCAGACGCAGAAGCCGAACCCGAATGCCCGGCCGAGGTGTTGCAAATCTGGACCGACCCCTGCACCTCAGAGATTGTGGTGGACAGTGGTGCTGATATTTCAGTCGCTCCCCTCTCCTACCAGCACGCCGGGGAGCAAGCAGCAGCAAGCAGGGTCCTGATGCAGGACGCCCAGGGCAACCGGATCATGGAACGAGGGACGCGCATTCTATGCTTGAGCGTCCGGACCCTCACGAACCAGGTGGTGACGATCAGGGAGAAGTTTGCGATTGCGGCCGTGAACTCGGTGATCCTCTCCTTGGGGAAGCTCTGAGGTCAGGGTGGAACTTGGGGCACAACCCCTCGGGCCCCACCATAGCCAAGGATGGCTGTGAAATTGCGGTGGGCCTTCGGCGAAACACCCTTGTGATTGCAGCTTCCATCTCGATGGTGGCGGCCTTGGACAGTGGAGCCCTGCCACCTGAAGGGGAAGAAGCAGTGGAAAGCCCAGGCTGGCACATCCTGCCCTCAGGTCTTCCCTTCTTTGTGGGGCACAGCTGCCTTGAGATCAGCCTGGAAACCTCAGTTTGGAGTGCAGAGGACTGGGCTTGGATCGCAGTTTTTGTGCGGAAGGAGCCAGCCACAAGAAAGCCACAGGCTGGCGACGTGTGGGTGCAGGTCTGGACAGGGCCTGCGGAGACATTCCCAGAGACAGGCCGAGCCATAGCAGAGATTGAGGAGGAGCTTGGTGGCAGAAGGGATTTTGCGGTCCTTTTTCATGTGGAGGAAATGCCGGAGAATGTTCTTTCATGTCCTGGTGCTCTCTTTGCCGAGCCGGCAGAGGATGAGCCAATGGCGGTGCCAGCGGAGGAGGTCGACGATGGAGGCGGCATTGGTGATGATGATGTTTGGGCCGGCCGCCCGGTGCAAGGGCAAGAACAAGACAAGGGTGAGGATGATGGCAAACTTGACGGGATCGCCCTGGATATGGAGACGCCCCTGGCCGAGCTTCGTGACCTTTGCAAGAGGCTAGGTTTGGCTAGCAGCGGGCCAAAGCCCAAGGTCTTGAAGAGGCTGAGGGTGCACAAGGAGGTGCTCGAGAAGCAGCTTGCAACAGAGATTGCCCAGGGCATCTACAAGGAGCAAGAGCGAAACCCAGACACCATGAAGGTGCCTGTCTTGCCCACGCCCCAACAGCAGGAGGCCCACTTCATCACTCACCAGCCTTTTGCAAGCTGGTGTTCAGCTTGTGTTTTGGCAAGATCGCGCCAGACACCGCACAGCCAGGGGAAAGAAGCCCAAGCAGAGAAGGATGGAGACAAGAAGCTCACAACCATCCAGATCGACTATGCCTACACGTTCACCGGCGACCGTGGGATAGCAGAGGAGGAGAAGAGCAAAGAAGCAAGCGAGGAGCAGCCCAGCCAATCGGGAGACCCAGAGCAGAAAGAGGAGGACGACAAGGCCAACCAGTTCGCCCTGAACCTTGTCGCCGGCGAGGCTGTTACTGGCTGGCTTGCTGGACTCCCGGTGGTGGCAAAAGGGGCCGCCTCTCTAAAGAGGGTCACCGAAACCTTGGTCAGGACCTCCATCCTGATTGCTGGGTCAGAAGATGTGGTGGTGCAAGGGGACACCGAGCCTGCCATCGGCCAGATCCTCAATGCCATCCAGGCGTGCAGGGCAAGATTGGGCCTGAGGACAGTGGTCAGGCAGGTGCCCAGGGACTCGCACCAGTCCAATGGAGTGGCGGAGAAGGCGGTCAGCACACTCAGGAGGCTGGCGCTGACACTCAAAGCGCACCTCGAAGAGCGAATCAAGGCCTCCACCAGTGGGTCTCTTCCGGTGTTTGCCTGGCTGATGAAGCATGCCGCGTTCCTGCACAACAGATTCTTTGTGGGGACGAAAGGCACTCCGCCCTATGAAGCTGTCCACGGGCGGCGCTTTAGGGGAAAGCTTATCCCCTTTGGCGAAAAATGCATCGGGTATGTGAAGTCGAAGTTCAAGGGAGACTTGCAGTGGCGCAAGGCTGTCTTTGTGGGCGTCAACGAGAGGACTGGTGCCTATGCTCTCCTTGGCGAGGAAGGAGGCTTTGAAACGAGGTCTCTGAGGAGGCTTCCGCGTGAAGAGCAGTGGGACGCCTAGGCAGTGGTCTGCGCGAAGGGTCTCCCATGGGACCTTGGAGGCCAAGTCAAGCGCAAGAGAGCGCTTTACACTTCAAGGGCGCCCCTTGTGCCCGACTCGGCGACCCTGGCTGAGTTAGCCAGAGCCGCAGGTCATGCAGCCGCGGCCTCTATAGCCGCAGGAACACCAAGGCCGCCCGCTGACGAAGCAGGGTCAGACCCGCCAACAGGAGACAGCTCACCTACCTCCTCTTCCTCCTCTTCACCTTCCAGCCCAGGGCAGCCGCAGCAAGCAAGGGCAGCACCAGAGCCAGAGAGGAAAGCCAAAGCAACAGCAGGCAGACCAGCGCCAGAACCAGAGAGCCGAAGCAACAGGCAGACCAGCAGCAGAACCAGAGAGGAAAGCCGAAGCAACAGGCAGACCAGCAGCAGAACCAGAGAGGAAAGCCGAAGCAACAGGCAGACCAGCAGCAGAACCAGAGAGGGTCGTTAATGTTGACGGTGCCGTTGGGAGCCAGTCGTCTCAGAGCACAGGTCCCGAGCCGATGGAAGTGTCCAAGTCCAGCCGACCAGGAGGTGGAACAGGCGAAGCCGAAGGCATAAGCAAAAGAGCCAGGCTTCTTCTCGATAAGCCAGCACAGGGCTCACCCACTTCTGGGTCCAGCCTGTATCCACCAGGGTTTGCTGGAATCCGGGCTGTGCACAATGACGTCCTGGCCGAAGAGCTGGTCGATGACGAGGCCTGGTCCGAGGAGCTGTTTGAAGCCATGGCAAGAGAAGGGACAGAGGATGATTCTTGCGAGGACAGACCGCCTGAGGTTACGCCGGACGAGCTTGCAGCAATTGACTTTGAGAGCGACAAGGTCGAGGTGGAGCGACTCGTCTCCATGGGGGTCCTTCGCAAGCCCCACAAAGGAGAGGACCTTTCAGGACACAGCAAGCTTACAACAAAGATGGTTCGCGATTGGCGGCGGCGGCCGCACTGGATACGCCGATCTCGGCTTGTGGGCCGTGAATACAAGACTTGGGAACCCTGGCGGGCCGAACTCTTCGCACCCTCCTCTTCGCTGGGCGTTGTCCACTCAGTGATGGCATGGGCTTTGACAATGGGGCTGGAAATTTGTACGATAGACGTGAAAGACGCCTATCTGAATTGCCAGCAAAAGCAGCCTGTGATTGTGGAAGTGGACAGCCGGCTCATAGGCGAAGATGCTGGGATGATGACGTTTGTCCTGGAGCGCAGTTTATGACCGACCTTTTGGGCGAGGCGGGGCTTGAAAGCTTTGGAAAAGAGCCCACGTTGTTCCGAAGCAGAGGCCCTGAACCCATGGGTCTTGTTCTCCACGCTGACGACGGCATCCTCGCAGCCTCCCGTCTTGGCCGCGAGAAGGTCATGGCAAAGCTGGGTGAAAAGGTGGTGGTACAAGTCAGTGAACCCCTGAAGGAACTCGGGGACTCGCTTGAGTTCCTCAAGAGAAAGTACATCTTGGAGGAAAGTGGGATTGTGATGTTCTCTGGGGAAAAGCACCTTGAGGGGCTGGTCGGGGCATTGGGCAATCACATCAAGGCCCGCGACGCACCCACAGACCAGTCTGTGATCGAGCCCGACACGTCAAGCGAGCTCCCAGAGGCGCAAGCCAAGGTGTACCGAGAATGCGTGGGGAGGCTTCTCTACTTGAGCCAGACCCGCCCGGACATACAGTTCGGGACGTGCGCCCTCACAAGCAAGATGGCCAAGCCGACGAGCACAGGAATGAAGCACCTAGGAAAGGTGGTCGGCTACCTCCTCAAGTACCCGACCATTGGCTTTCTCATCAAGCCGATCAAGGAGAAAGCTTGCGTGGACTATGTTGGAGATGGGCCCTTGTTCGAAAAGGGGACAGTCGTCCTGGAAAGCGTCTCGGACGCCGACTGGGCTGGGTGCAAGACCTCAAGAAAGAGCCGCTCGTCTGTGCAGTTTTTTCTTGGAGGGTCGTTGGTTGGAAGTTTTGTTCGCAGCCAGCGCACCGTGGCGCTCTCCTCGGGAGAGTCGGAGTTCAATGCTATGATCTCTGGTGCCTGCGACCTCCTTTACCTTAAGGAGTGCTTCAGCTATGTCACCAAGGACCTCTTTGTGGTCAAGGCTGTGTCGCGGTCTGACTCAGCAGCCGCTCGAGGCATCGGAAGCCGTGTGGGGTGCGGCAGAGTGAGGCATCTTCACTGCAGCTTCCTCTGGCTGCAGGAGTCCGTGCGCAAGGGAGACGTGGATCTCCGGCCGATTGGGGGTCAGCGAAACCCCGCAGACATTGGGACGAAACCGTTGCCAGGAAAGAAGCTGCGCGAGTTGCTTTACAGGTGTGGGGCTATTGGGCCCGATGGTGAGAGGTTTGGCGCTGAGGAGCACCAGGAAGCCGAGCAGCGTGCAACCGTGAAGCGGTTGCTGACCTCCACCGCCACAAGCGGTGCTAGCCTAAAGAAGGCCCTGCCAGTGCTGATGATTTTGGCGCAGGTTTTGGGAGCAGAGGGTTTTGAGGGCTTGGGTGTGGCTATGGCCGTGAACCTTCTCGAGGACACCGTTGTCACCCTCGCTTCCTCTGCGGCCTCGGTGTTGATCCTGATGGGTTTCTTCATTGGCGCAGCATGGGCAGTGCATGCGTGTGGAAAGAGCTTATGCAGAAAGCAGAAAAAGCATGAGACAAAGGAAGCCAGCAGCCAAGCCAGCCTTGGCCCCAGCAAGTCAGAGGAGAAGTTCATGCAGGAGTATGTCACAAGGGCAACCGAACTTCGCACAGCACTTCATGAAGAACACCAGACAGTTGAGAGCTGTGAGAAGGAACTTGTGAAGGTCAGGAAGCGCAATCGCGCTCTCGAGGCAGAAGTTCAGGACCTCGAAAGAGAGGTTCAGCGGCTGCAACAGCAGCCCAGGCATCCTGAAAGGATTGCAGTTGCCACTCAGAGGGGCCAAGCCTTCCATCTACCCGGGTGCCCGTTCACACGCAGTAGCAGTAGTGTCAGAATTTTCACTCCGTGTCAACATTGCTTTAGGGGCTGAGTTTGTGCAGAATGAACGGCACTTTTGGGTGCGATGGCTTTTGTGAACATCCTGGAACAAGTGCCAGGAGTTCAAGGCGGGGTGTTCGTGCATCGCATGACTCCCGTGTTCCGCATATGTAAGCATTGCACCTGTGACCGCAGCCCTCATTTCTTGCTGAAGAAAAGTTTTCACTGATTGTGACGGAGATGATACCACCATCTTCTGACAGAAAGCTAGAAGCAACGGAGAGCTTTGAGAAACTACATGTATCCCTTGCTGGACAAACTTCATTCATGCTAGTCAGTGGCCTTCTCCCCTCTTAGGGTCCGGGAGGAGCGTGGAGGATCTGTTTGGGTGTGTGGAGTGTGACGGGATATTGCCAGAAAAGGCCCACAGTTGCAGAGAAACAGGCAGTGAAGGCCCTCAGACCCAGGTGGCACCGCATTTCCAAAACCTGAGTAGACCTGAGCAAACCTGAAGACCTACGAGCCTTGTGCCCCTAAGCCCCGGACGTCTCTGCCTTCGACCGCCCGCTGTCCCAAAGCCCCCGAAGAGGTGGCCGGACGTGTGGGGCGATGGCCCAAGGCCCTGGGTGGAGCCGTTAGGGCCTCTGAGTTTGTGGGTGGCTCGGGTCAGGATCTCGAGGAGTTCTAGCAATAAATCCCTTCTTGAGCTTAGTGTCTATTCCATACCGAAATACCCTATTTTTGATCGTTGTGAGACCTCTATACCAAAACCCCCAAAGAGCCCTTCCAAAAATCCGCAAAGGGGGCGGAGTCTAGCCTAGTTGTCAAGTCCCCAGTCGTACCCCACCCCTAAACCCTAAACCCCTAAACCCCTAAACCCTCAACCCTAAACCCCTAAACCCTAACCAGAAGGCTCTGGAGCTTTTCAGCCAGCTCCCCGAGCACCTGCAGCCAAACCGCTACACCTACACGGCCCTCTTCGACGCAGTGGTCAAAGGTGGGGCTTTTCGGTGGTTTAGGCTTCGGGGTTTAGGGGCGGGGAAAGCTGGTTGAGTTAACATATCCTTTGCCAGAAGTCTAGGTTGTTGTAGAGTTTGCTTTCTCATTTCAACGGGATCTGACGGTTCTGGGTTGTTGAGATTCAGGATCTTGGTTCCGCTGGTCTTCAAGTCTGCAGTCCCACATCCGAAACCGTTTTCATACCTCGGAGACGCCAACTTCTGCTTTGGGCGTCCCCAACGTGATTTGTTGGTCTCTCTTATGGGTAGCCAAGATCTCGCTACTGCTTCCAGAAGTCTTGGCTCCCTATAAAGCATCCTGCCTGGATATATCCCACAGAGCCGAAAGTCTGAGGCGGAGGTCCCCAAACGGTCCTCTGGGCTTTGTGGAACCACCTGCAGCGGAGTAAAGTGACGGCGGATCTGCAGCTCATGAGCACGATGCTGCAAGGCAGAGGGGAGAGCGGGGGGTGGGGGATCTCGTGGAGGCTTCGCGGAGTTCTCGAAGGGTTCAGCAGGTTCGAGCAGGCCCCGCAGGTGCTGATGTTTCTACTTCATAGGCTGTGACACTTCTCGAAAGGCAGTTATAGAGGGCTCTCTGGCTTCGGGGTTTTCAGGGAGTGGAGTTCGAAGTACCTTCGCAGGGGTAATCCTCATAACCACCGTGCTCATACTTCACTTACTAAGTCCGCGGATCCTGTAATGCTTTGTGCTTGCAGGTTGGGGTCTTAAGCGCCAGGGTGGCCAGGGATGCTCGAGACGACAGCTCCGGGGTTTCCCAATCAGCAGCTTCCCTGAACTCGAGGCCCTAAGCTTTGAGGCCTTAACCGAAACCTCCAAGCCCTGAGCCTGAAACCTGATTTCCGAATCATGCACCCCTTAAAAGCCCGAAACCCATCTACAAAACTAGGAACTAGAACCCTAAAGAGAAGAAGCCTAAAAGGATCCCTTTAAGAGGCACCTCTCAAGCAGAAGAAACAGCCGAAAGCCTCCTTGGGAGGCTGCTCGGACGTCTCCGTGGTGGAGGAGCTCTTGGGGGAGCTGGACTGGCAGGGGCTGACGCCCAACCTGGAGGCCTTGTGGGGGGGTTTAGGGTGTAGGGGTTTAGGGCTTAGGGT